CCCCAAAACCCCAAAACCCCAAAACCCCAAAACCCCTATTTAACCCAAAAATATTGAGAGCTAATAAATTTATCTAAATTATGGAAAACACAACGCTTGAGGACCAATTCGACCTCATCTTTGATATCTTTACAAAGATTTATAAAGCAGAAGTAGGTCAAAAGGGGTAACATGTATCTAGACAACTTTTGAACACCAAGATGATTTGTCAGCCCAACTCCAGGCTCTTTCTCAGGCCATAAGTGATATGAAACAGCCAGTTGGGGAAGCTGACAAGGAGGTTTTGGAGACAAATAGTGACTTTGCAACCTTTTGATTCCAAATAGTGTGAAAATTCCCACTAAAAGTTCCAACATCTATCTATTTTTCACTCACAAATATCGGAATTTCAATTGCAAAAGCATTAAAGTAGTCGTTCTTTTGTTATTATTTAGAGCTGATCCACATGAATCAAGGAAATTCGTGGAAGTGTCCTTGAGAATGCTGCTGGAAAATACCAGCAAAGACATAGAGGACTATAAACAGTTTACACAATGGTTTATGACCATCAGTGACGAGATTCAGCTATTATACTTACAAGAGGAGGATAACCCAATTTTGGAACTATTCACACAATTTTTGGATCAAATTTTCAACCAATCTGAACAAATTGGCAAAAACTTACTTGAAAATGCTTCTCATGAGGCCGGCTTACAATGTATTTTCGTAAAATTCATAGTTATAGATGAAGAAATAAAGCTTGATAGCACCAGATTGGCAACAATCTCAAAATACCTCTTTCAAGATGTAGAAAGAAGTATTGAAAGGACACTTCCAACAGTGTCAAACTGACTACTCAAGATTCTGAGCTACCTAGCAGACCTCACACAGCAGAAAACTGACTGAAGAATTAGCCTGTCATCGTCAATTCAAGTCTACCTATGTGACCTCTTCGAGGCACTTCAGAAAGAGTACACTAATGCATACTTGGATGAGGATTTAGTGAAAATAATTTATGAGGACAAAGAATCTCAGTTGTTTCACTACCACGCAAACATACTTGAAATTTTTGAGACTCTGTCTCAGATTTTCAACAATATTACAGCTGAAGGAGACAAAGTAGCTGAGGTTTGTCAAACTTTGTTTGACAACAAAGCTTGTGAGTTCTCCTTAGCTCTAGTAGTCCTTGTAGATAAATTAGTGAAGATCCTCACATCCCTCACAATTGTGCCTAAGAATGACGCTGTGGAGATTAATAAGATGGAAGATCCAAAGACGAAGAAGTCCAGTCACCCTGTGGCTGGACTTCAGACTAAATGTGTTCGCTTAGTTGGCAATCTGATCTCCCAATGCCCCTCAACTGTGGGCTATTTTGAGGAAAATCTGGATCAGCTGGGTCTGATGCTGAGTCATACCAAAATTGACTTCGTCAATGTTGGATTACGAGAACAAGCCATGCTCTGAACAAAGTACTTGATTGATCAATCAGAAATAATTCGTGAAAGCTTAGGCGCCATGACAAAGCTCAGTACTGATGAAGAAGGCAAGGAATTGCTGAAGAAAGTAGGGCTCAGCGAAGATTACTTCCTAAATAAATCCAAAGTGGACATGGTGCAGTCTCCTTTTGAGAAGAAAGAGTAATGTATTAAATAATCCAATTAAACTCGTTATATAAGGGGTTTTGGGGTTTTGGGGTTTTGGGG